AAAAATATATCTACCGTAAAAGGGCATTGCAAAGAGAGACTAGGAGACTTGATTTCATGCATTAGTGTTTTTTTGTAGGAAGGGCCAAAAAGAAGAGTCCCAGGAGAGATGCCAAAAGGAAGCCTAAGGCAGCTCTGACTTTGGTCCAAATAGTACAGCTGACATCCGGGAGGGGCATGGCATATTTTCCTTGTATGGCTAGGAAGGGATTATTGATAATGTATTTTTTTTTCACCAGCTCTTAAATTTTTAATGCCAGGAGAAAATTGACTGAGGAAACATTAACATATTTCATATCTTTGACAACTTCTATTCATAAAACAGAACTATCTCTAGGGCCTTTAATGTAAATGTTGTATGGGTATTGTATTTTGAGTTCTACTGACTAATTACAATTTAGTTTATACTTTTTGTTTATTTCCCCGAGGACTAAATTGTCACTTATTTTTTCAGCATCTCGCCAAAGTAGCCGGCTGCTTTCAACAACAAGAGCTGCCATGGGTGTCCACGCTAACCTCAAGATAAACGATGGGGTTGGTGTTGTCACCTTCGATTCTCCTGGGAAGGTGAATGTGCTGAACCAGCCAGTCATGGAGGAAATTGTGAAGATTGTTGATGAAATTGAGACCAATAGTGATATCCAGGCTGCTGTGCTAATATCTGGTAAACCTGGATGTTTTATTGCTGGTGCTGATATTACAATGATTGAAAGCTGCAGACAGCTGAGGAAGCCCAGGCTCTCTCAAAGTCCTGCCAAGATATCCTCTTCCGCATTGAGAAGAGCAAGAAGCCAGTTTGCGGCAATCATGGGTTTCTGCCTTGGCGGTGGTCTGGAAGTTGCTTTGTCTTGCCACTACCGGCTGCTGAAGGACAAGGCCGGACTTGGACTCCCTGAAGTTATGTTGGGAGTACTCCAGGTGGAGGAGGAACCCAACGCCTTCACAAGCTGGTTGGTGTTCCTGGTGCTCTGGATATGAGCTTGACTGGAAAGACTGTGAAGGCTGACAAGGCCAAGAAGATGGGTCTGGTTGATGGGCTTGTAAATCCTCTTGGACCAGGCCTTCAGCAGCCTGATTTAAGGACCCTTGCTTACCTTGAGGAAGTAGCTATAAAGACTGCCAAGGATCTTGCAAGTGGTGATCTGAAGGCTAAGCGTGGTCCCAAGAACTTCATGGAAAAGGCAATGGGAACGGCTCTGCAGTATGACTTCATCAAGGACCAGGTATTCAAGAAGGCTCGTGGTCAGTCATTAAGCAGACAAATGGACTCTACCCCCCCTGAGAATCCTTGATGTTATCCGCACTGGATTAGACAAGGGTAGCAAGGCTGGCTATGAAGCTGAATGCAAAGGTTTTGGAGAGTTGGCCATGACAAGTGAATCAAGGGGCCTTGTTGGTCTTTTCCATGGTCAGACAGAGTGTAAGAAAAACAGGTTTGGCAAGCCAGAGAAACCAGCAAAGACTCTGGCCATCCTGGGTGCTGGACTCATGGGAGCTGGTATTGCTCAAGTGTCCATTGACAAGGGTTACCGCACAATCTTGAAGGACATGAATCATGCTGGACTTGCAAGAGGCGTCAACCAGATACAAGGAGGACTAGACAAGGCTGCAAAGCGCAAGAAGATCACTACCTTTGTTGCAGACCAGTATATGTCCAACTTGGAACCAACCATTGATTACAGCAGCTTCAAGAGCTGTGACATGGTGATTGAGGCTGTATTTGAAGACTTGGCTTTGAAACATCGTGTAATCAAGGAAGTTGAGCCACATCTTCCTGAGCATTGCATCTTTGCCTCAAACACATCTGCTTTGCCAATTGGTCAGATTGCCAAAGCAAGTGCAAGGCCAGAGAAGGTATATATGTGAAATAGTTTTCTAAAATTGATTTCAAATATCAGCAGATATTTGAATGTTTTAAAATTTGTCTTTTATCTTTTCATGGTAAAAACTTTGAATATAAGTCCATTTCAAGAATGCAGTCAAACCAAGATAATCCAAATAGATCTAATGCAACATGTTATTTATTGTTTGGCAGGTGGTTGGAATGCATTACTTCTCCCCAGTGGATAAGATGCAGCTCCTGGAAATCATCACAACTGACCAGACCTCCAAAGACACTGCTGCCTCTGCTGTGGATGTTGGTCTCAAGCAGGGCAAGGTATATCTCACTTTCTTCCTTCAGAAGATTTTCTTTATTCTCATTTTTGTCCCCAAAAAAGGGGGGGTGGATATGTACACAAGCACGCATATATCAGGAAAGTAATTAGATTTTTTTCTTTGTAGGTTGTGATTGTGGTTAAGGATGGGCCAGGATTTTACACCACTAGGATCTTGGGTCCCATGCTGGGAGAGAGTGTGAGGCTGTTCCAGGAAGGTGTTGAGCCCAAGAGGATGGATAAACTTTCGAGGTCCTTTGGGTGGCCTGTAGGAACTGCAACTCTGGCTGATGAAGTCGGTAAGATCCTTTTAGTTTACCACTTAACTTTTTTTTTTTAATAGATCAATCTTGACCCAGTGGTCAGTACTTGTAGGTACAAGTGTATTTTATAGAGTATTTGATGGGCACTAATGATTAAGGAAAAAGTTGAATATTTATAAATATGAACTCTAGTTACAGGAGGCTTTTGTTACAGGTTGATGTGGCTATGCACGTTGGAGAAGATCTCGGCAAGGCCTTGGATCCGCATTGGTGGTGGCGATGTAAATGTCCTGAAGGATCTTGTTGCTGCTGGCTTCCTAGGTCAGTCCACCCAGTTTATTTTCATGCAGCTTAAAAACAAAATTGTTTTGATGTATCAGTACCTTGTCTCTAAAAAGTAGTTGAATGTTTTGCTTACTATAAACTTTGTGGAGTAATTTCATATCTAGTACTTAATATTTTCCCCTTGCTTATAGGTCGCAAATCTGGCAAGGGTATTTATGTATATGAAGCAGGTGTCAAGGAACGAAATGTTAATGAGGGTGCACTGGAAATTTTGAAGAAGTATTCGGTTACTCCTAAGGTAAAACTTTTTACGTATTTCTCTCTTTATTTTGCTCTGTTTACCACCAGTGTTATACTTGATATGCAGTGGTCTTCATGATCCTTGAAGACTGTAGGGTGTTAAAGAAAGACATTGTACTACATGTTTTCTTGACTTAAAACTAATATTTTACATCTGTTTTGGAATAAATGTCTGTCAATCACATTTCTGAACATTTCCATTATGGACTTTCAGGGCCCTATGACTGATGCTGACATCCAGCTGCGTCTTGCCAGCAGATTTGCCAACGAAGCTTTGTTGTGCTTGCAGGAAGGCATTCTGAATAGTCCTGTAAGAATTATTAAAAATTAAACTTTGTGTATATTCAGAATAGCAATGAAATCTTACAATGAGTTATCATATAAATGCACCAGCAGTTATTGTACTGAAAAATCAATATTTTCTTTCCAGCTTGAAGGAGATATTGGTGCTGTGTTTGGCCTTGGCTTCCCTCCATTTACTGGCGGACCTTTCCGGTTTGTGGACAACTATGGAGCTGACAAGTTGGTGGCCAAGATGCAAGAATACGCAGCTGTCTATGGCGAGAACTTTAAGCCCTGCCAGTTGTTGCTTGATCATGCTGCTGATCCGTGTAAGAAATTCTACAAGTAATATCTTATCTTCATAATTTGTATACCAATGATACCCATTTGAAGATTTACAGAATAAGTCAGTTATTATTGCCAGTTTCATCCTTCAAGTGTCTTATCTATGTCATAGTAAGAATGGTCATAATGATCAATTTTAAACGTGTGTTCTTATTTAAGACTTTTTTTTTTTTTCCAATATTTCCGTGTCCTTTTTCATACCAGCCTTAAAAATCATGTCAGATTTAGGCATGCTTGGTGGTTAATGCACCAGCTTGAAACCGGTGATAGTTGGGTTTTTCATGAAACGGAATCGAAGAACACAATTTTTGTAGATACGAGCCAAGTATAAAATCATGTTATTGCTTACGCTACTTTACATGTAGCCCAGTTACCGACCTCTCTAAATGATTGCTAAATATTTATATGTAATAAAGGTAAACCCAACTCAAAAACAGTGTAGTATGCTGTTTTTTTCTGTGCCTTGCATGAGACTTTGAAACAATGTATAGTACTGTAAATATGGCAGAAAGATCCCTATCTTTTTACTTGTTTAAAGTAATTCATGCATAGACACAGAGTTTATCAATGCAATTTTCATAGGTTAGCATTTTATAAAGATAGATAATTTATATTCTTTAACAAAATGGGAACAAAATGATCCATTAGTTTTGGAACCATGATATATATGGATTTGTTAATTAATTGTGGATAAATAAAAGATTTTTCCAAGCTGTGTGTGGATATTGTACCCTTTGTTTAAATATCAGATTATTAACATAACAGAGAACATGCCAAGTACATTTTAGCATTTCTTTAGCAGTGCATTAATACAAAGGAAGAAGTTGAAAGTATTTAACCCCACTAGCACCGGTATATTTTGAAGCCAAAAGTAATAGTGTCCAGGCGGCTTCAAAATTGGTGCGACAGAATTGGAGTGCAAGCTCCGATCCAAATGTCACACTGGCAGGATGACGGCAACGTTTATTTTTCTGGGCGTCTCATATGTGGGACACCCGTCATAAATGGGTTAATTCTTCAGTACTATCCATTTTCTATGTTCTAATAGACTATACAAATTGTTAAAAATTAAATGGGAATAATAATAATAAAGAAATAAAATAAAGCAGGCTATTGAGAGAAATAAAAATGAGGATTGTATTAATAGTCAAATGTTGCCTCCTCTTTAGTTTAATGCATAAAAAGAATAAAGATTTTAATTAAGACTGCATATTCAGTGAATAACAGCACTAGACAATATTTCTGTTGCAACTTCTAAATACATTTATGGGCTAAATTATTCTAGTCAATAGAAAGTAATTTTCAAATATACCTTTATAAATGACAGATCATATGCAAGAGCATACAAATTAAAACAGAAAATACCATGTACCCAAAATATATAACAAGGGTCAGTGTGGCTTCCAAGAGATGTTGGCCAATCCTTGGAACGACTTCTGGAGTTGCCGATTGTCTGCCCAGGGAGAATTGAGGTATGAGTCGTCATCCTCCTCATCCAATTTCTGCCAAGGGAGCATCTATTATTATTTGGTGCAAAATACAAATAAAACTAGACAGCATTACATGATTTTTTTTTATTTTTTATATTAAGAGATGGAGACTAGAACCTAATGCTGGCACTCTCCAACCTTGGGCCTTAACCCTCGACTTGACTTACCATCTTTCCTTTCCGTTTCCTTCTATTCTATAACCCTTTCTACTCTCCACTTCCTAAGGTGTGAGAGCTGTGTAGAAAGACTTGACTCTGTGTTAGTCATTAATGGCCTAGGGGTGCCATGGACACAGTATTCCCTTGTTTATTTGTGTAGCCCATACCCCTCTAGGAGATCCCGAGGGCTGGACTGTTGAGGGAAAAGTTCCCACGAGTGCATAAACCTCTGTGTGTGTGTGATTAGATTCATTTGGTGTTTAGAAGGAGGCTTTTGCATTATTCTCATCGATAAACAAATGTGGAATGTAATGTGTGTAAGCCATTAACCATTACTTTTGTTAATAATCAAATCAAATTTCATTAACTAGCCCCATCTTTACCCATATCACTGTTACACCTTTCAGTAATGCAATATGAACTTTGATGTCTAACACACTTATTTTGCTTTGTAACCATTAACCATTACATTTGTTAATAGTCAAATCAAACTTCATTAACTACTGATAACACTACCAATTGTCCAGCCATTCATCAACTGGCTGAGGACAACAGTCGTAGACTTACTTGATGAATTTGCCCATTCAGGTACTTACCACAAAGGTGGCCATATTATTACCCATGGATATGTACTGTCATGGAAATTACAATAATTTTTTCTGTTTGCAACTGACTATTATTTCTAAACTTGTTTTTACATCAATATACTGACTGGATCTTATTGTTTTAAAGTATAATCAATGTAGAAGCATTTCACAGAAGTCCAGACATTCTTTTTTCCATACCTTAAAGTACATACAGATACATTAAATTCCAAAGACTTCAAAAAGAATCAGAAATAATACTAACTTAGGAGGCAGTATTATGTTTCTGAGGAGGAATAGTATAAGAAGAATGATGAATGATAATAACTGTAATAAAGATGAAAATCTATAAATACCTTCAATTGTTCTCGTCTGTGGAATTCAGCCATCATGAGTTTCTTGCGCTCTTCCTCTGACAGAAGGGGCTCCCTGCTAGGTGCCCCTTGACCTCGGCGCTGAATCTTTACAATCACCTGGAATATTTTCACTGATTACATTTGTGATTTGTTTTACATGCCACTTAATGAGGATACTCTTTACAATTTTTAAAAGAAATTTTATCTAAAGTTAATAGAATGACATGCATCTAACTTGAGTATAAATTAAAGTACATTTTTAAATTCTAATTGCAAGATTTTAAATACCTACCAGTATACTTTTCAAAATATTTCTGCAAATTTAATACTATACCCGATATTTAATTTTAGAAGTGGAATTTCTTAGCCTTGTATTAAAAAAAAAAAAAAAAAAAATAGGGCATTAAAAAAGTAATAAAAAATATACATTTCTATTACTTCAACATAGAAACTCAAGAAAAAGAAAGAGTAACATGAACTTCATAATATAAAAAAAAATGTAATTCTTCAGAATAAGATGAAGATTTTTTGATGTGCAGGACAGACAGATAATGAAGTACAATATAAATTCATATCAGGATTTAGTAAATAAGTGTAATATAGACATAAGCAATAAACATATCAAGTTGCAAACTGATATGCTGTAATATTTGTTTACCGCAAAAAAACGTTTAAAGGAGCCATTTCCCTTTTAGTGGCTTGACATGTATAACTCTTACAAATACCTGTGCATTGGAGCTCAGAACATTGAGAAAATAATAATAAACCAAAGAATGACCATTAACAGCAACAAAATAAGAAAGAAATGCAAGATACATAATTAGCATTTTTAATTAATATATTTAAAATGATATAAGCACTGAAAATCAAACACAGAAACACACATTACATATCTTGCACTGTGAAATTATAGATTCTCTTTCACTCTTCGACCTCTGTCACAACAAAGGGAATTTCTCTTACCTTCGATTTTTCATTTTTGCCAACGTAGTCCAGTAGTTTTTTCCCGCACAGCATTTCCTTCCCAGCAAACCAAAGTTGTGTTACTGGTGCATCTAGAACCTTACAAAATGAAAGAAAATTTATGTTGATATATACAATATATATGATATAGAATAAAGATAAGCATATCTGCAGAACGTAATGTAGACAAATTGATTGAAAAATTAAAAGGTCAAAAATGATATCCTGATGTGTGTCTGTAACCTAAATAACAATCAATATGGAAGATCTGTGGTAGAACATATGCATGAAAATATTTCTAAATGTAAATATCTACTTTCACTGCTAGATCATTTTTGCAAAGCCTAGGTATATATATATATATATATATATATATATATATATATATATATATATATATATATATATATATATATATATATAAACAATCTATCACTTAGCTACACAAAAAGCATCCTACTGATAAAATAAGAATGTCCTCAGAATACCACCTGCTGATTATTTATTCTATAGACACTGGTCTTGCCTCTCATATTAGTGATACAAAAGGCTTCTTAGTGACAGGATAATATGTGAAATTGTAAGCACAATGGCACAGCCCTTCAGGCATATAGAATTGAAGTCTGACTGACAACCCTCTACATAAATGGAAACATAGCCAGTTTGGATTGATTTGGCATCTTACCTAAGCTTTCTGTTAGGCATATACACTGTTCTGTAAATAAATTCTATTAAATCAAATCAAATCTCTCTTTTTCTCTTTATACCTCTTAGCCTCTTAGCCTCTTAGACTCTCAGCTCTCACCTTTTAACCACTCACTGCCTGAGACTGACTTTAGTATCTGGAAAAATATGGCAACACAATCAACAATCATGTATCATATTCAGAGGATACTAGTACAGACCTATATAGAGCTGTTTTTACAAATGACAGGAATCTAAAATTAGCAACCTTTAATAAAATATCAGTCAATCTCAAATTAACTTTTGATCCCCACCATCTTATGATCTTGGGTCCCTTTCAACTCTTCACGATTCTCAAACTCCTCTCTAATAGGGTCGTATGGAGGTAGGTTCATCGGGTAGGCGATCATGATGGCTCCTCTCAGAATGTCAATAGCATCGCATATGTGCTGTTCTGTGAGGCATGTGTTGCTCTTGACTAACTCCTGAAATGAAGGTTGCACTGTGTTACAAAAACAAGACAGTGTATGTAAACTTTCTATCAGATAAGAGAATTAGAATTATTTGAAAACTCATTACATATTGTGGTATTACTAATATCTTTATATGTTTTCTTCAAAATCTGTAAATTTATGAACATGAATAGTAATATCATTTGACAGATAAAAGGTAATCCTCAAAGTTCACAATAAATTACAAAAAAATTCAGTAAGCTATTTTTTCTGCTACCTAAGATAAATTGTCCAGGCAAGCATTATATATAATTGATCTCCTTACAATAAATGTAAATCACTGTGACCCCTGACTTATCCTGCATAAAACAATTACAGGGTTAATTATGAGTTAATAAAGATACATTTCTATATGAAGCATGGAATGTTGTCCCCATTGTTTCTGAATGACTTGTGACAACTGCTATTAAAAAAAATCATGATAATGCAACTGAAACAGGACACACTTACTTTTGAAATTATACCCTTAGCTTCTGCAATGGTCTTCTGCAACACCTCTTGCATTTTTTCTGTCGGCCGACACCCATTCCTCCTTCCACATGGATCTCTGTTAGAATGATGATTAGATGTAAAATTAAATGGGGAAAAAGAAGAGCTACAGAGTATCAAAGTAATCTGATATGGAAATGGTTAACAATAGAAAGAAAAATGATACTAACTTTGCATTCCTCCTGTTCTTGATACTATATGAATATCAAATCATCAATAATCTTTCATATCTATAAATATGAGCATTTAGATAAAACCAAATACAATAATGAAAAACAAATGACTATTATTGTGTAAAACACAAACACATACAAACAAACAAAGAAACAAATGCACATACACACACACACACAAAAATGCTACTTTTCAGTTACTCATATTTTCATGAAGCTACTGGCCAATAGCAAACAAGATGTACTAATTAAATCCTAATTGTTTTGGGTATAAAATATAGTAAAGAAGAGTAACTGTACATCTATGAAAATCAAAACTTCTGTGTCCATATCAATTTCATAAATTTTTCTTCCTAATTATACTAATGTTTCACTTTAAAAAATACACATAAACAATAGTCACCAACATTAGGCCCTACAAATATGACAAATTGTGAATTAATTACACTTGTCGCAAACATACCTATTTTCACTGAAACCTCCACTTGGAGCACATGTCTCTGAAAACTCGTCCTTCAGCTTGAGTTCTGCGATCTGATCATCGGTGAGACCATGCATTTCGGGTGGTAAAGATATTCCATGTTCGGCAAGCATTTCCATTGCTGAAAGATATGTTCCATGATTAGTTACCACTCAAATTTATGTACACAGGAATATTCTCTTTTATAGTACAAGAGTTACATCTATATATACTGCATATCATTGTTGTTAATCTGTGTGTGTGTGTGTGTGTGTATGTGTGTGTGTGTGTCTGTCACACAGACAGACAGACAGACAGACAGACAGACAGACACACACACACACACTTTACACAGGAATATTCTCTTTTATAGTACAAGAGTTACATCTATATATACTGCATATCATTGTTGTTAATCTGTGTGTGTGTGTGTGTGTTATATACAGTTATATATAAACTTACTTATTTTATGTATGCTTACCACTGCAAATTCTATACACTTTAAGCCTGCCATTATGTATCATCACAATTCTGTTGACAACATCTTCGATTGGCGACTGCACAGTAGTTTCAAGAAGAAACTGGCTTTCATCACCTCGCTTGACATGGAGAACAACCATGATGGACACTCCTATGCCTGCCGTAGAATAATAGTCAGACATAAGAGAATAATGGGAAATGACGTTGTTACAAAAAATGCTATCTTTGTAATTATTATTTAAAAGTATAATCTATCTCCACATGCATGAGATGAATATTACTATTCAAGATGAAATAATAATATTAATAATAATAAAAAAAGAAAGAAAAAAAAGAGCAACAATATATGCAAATACACAGCAAAGCTTTTCTAATTTATCAATAAACATGATATACTTTTTAAAACATTAACCCGAATCAACTAAATCAATAACCTTTACTGAATCATTAACTACACAGCATATCCAACACAATTTACTTCATATGTGGCTACACTAATCCTTAACAAAATCAGCAATTTGCCTGAATACATGCAAAACTATTTGTATATATGTATTTTCATCCCTGGGGCACAATATTACATTACTGGAAAGCAAACTGAAGACTACTCTGAAATCATCGGAAAACACTAGTAGTAGCAGTAATTTTATTGGTGTTTATAGTTTACTTTTATAATTATAACATCTTTTCCTTTATGACCTTGCTATTGGAAATAGAAAATAAGGAAGTCATTTAGCAAATAAATGAGAAGGGATAGTATATCTCCCTACAATAAAAAAAGCCAATCAGAACAGGTTTCAATGTGCTCATGTGTTCAAAGACAAGTAATAAAAAAATGGAAATCTAAATACAGTTCATTGCTGTAATGGAGTTATCAGATGGTGTTGGTTAACTTTTTAATTTACAAATTACTGATTATCCTCCTGGTAATTTATAGCCAAATAAGAATTAGTCCAAACTATCTTCCCAGAAAATTCACGGAGAAAGGATCGTATGTCTCCTTATATTCTGCTGCTAGTGTGAAGTATTTTGAAATCCATCAATCAATCATTCCCATACACCTGAATTTTGTATGATGATGGCCGTGTGAAACTATGTTTACTACTCTTTTTTGGTAGCATGCAAAACTTCAACAATTTTGGAAATATTATAGTAAGTAATATCAAGTATAGTAATGACAGAAGAGCCTAATGTACATGCAAAACATTATATTTTTCCACAACCAGAAATGATAAATAGTAAATATCAAGAATAATCCAGAAGAGACTCCATGGAGATAAAACAAAACTTATATAATGGTCGTCAAGAACACATAAAACTACAACTGTTAAGTATAGAAAATCTGATGAGCACACAATTGTCTACTAAAGTATGTAATTATGCATTAACCCATTGAATCCAGGTGATGTGACCATTACATCATGAAAAACCTTGACAAGGGCTAGGTTACAGGAAACATCGTGAAACGGCTGAAGGCTGAGGTGAACGACTTAACATGAGAGTAAAAAACTCTTAGGGGGAAGATTAGATTCAGTGGGCATTTCAGAAGGGGTTCTTGCATTATTTCCACAGATAAATAAGGGTGAAACATGTCATCAGTAACCATGTCCTGAAGAGCACTGGCTCCAAGGAGGACACTAATATTTCCATTCTCAGGCTCCTTTTCTTGACCACCATGACCAGCAGTACAGGGTGAGTTACAGAAAACTGAATATGAAAATATCTTAAAATAACACAAATAACAAACTATTACTCATTGTTATTGTTGCTGCACAGAGTTCTAGATGACTAAGAGATATGATAATGATTCTGCTCAAGAAAAACAGTCTATTATCATTACATCATATGAAATGACAAATATAGACCTTAGAGAAAGGAAAAATAAATCTTATGCAGTAAAACTGAGAACAACATTGCAAATGGGAAGCAAAGAGTCTTGATAATGCACATAAATGTTTATGTGAGGTGGGCCTACAAACCACACATCCGGGGTCGCCACTTAGGTAAGCCCAATTCCTGAATTTTAGCATCTGGATCCAAGGGGTTAAGAGATGCTGCGACCTATAGTAATGGTTAACTAATTTCCATCCAACAGTGGTTTCATACATTCTGATTTTGGATAATTACCATTACAATTGCAAAATCATGAAAACTGACAAAAATGAAACAACGAATCTATGGCCTGCTAACTATGATGTCAAATGACAATTCTTAATCATCAGTAATTACTATTTCTCAGTTGAATGACAGAATATTCCTGTAAACTGGTAAATTTTACATCATAAATCAAGGGAGATCTATTTCTACAGCTATATAGGACATCTAAGTAAGCCTGCAAAACAAATTGCAACAACTACACTCATGCAAACAGGATATGGGATCTTGCCCTTATTTTTGCATTTTCTCTCCTTTCTCTTACCTTCAATAAGATCGATCTAAGTCTGCTAACAAAAAACAAAGGAATTATATCGGTAAATACAACCACAACGACGACCACGCTGCTTCTGATGTTGCTCTGGAAACATCCAGGAAAGCGTCGTGTTTCCATGGCAACGGCTTTTGTTTACGTCGGTTAGAATTCCATGTTTAACCCCACAATCGTCGTGAGGGAATCAATAAGTAATAATATTGATGCTGACAATGGTGTAATAATGGTGATGATAAGAATTAGGATGATACTAAATGTATTTTGAGAGGTTATGCTCTGAAAGGAAAAACATGAGGCTAGACAATAGCAATGTCAAACAAACAAAAACAATTAACGATCTACTACCCAGTGCATGGGGAAAAGAATCCGTAAATCGTAGAGAGAATATAGCGAATTAAAAAAAAAAAAAAAAAAAAAAAAAAAAAAAAAAAAAAATAAATAATATATATATATATATATATATATATATATATATTATATAATATATAATATATATATAATAAATAAAAATAAATAAAATAAATAAAATCACATGCAGAAAGACAGTAAATTAGCAGAATGCGTTCACTAGAAAACCTTCGAATACTTCTTAATTGAATCATAGAATTGCCACGAATATATCCTAAAACGGAGTGAAAATGAGAATGTTAATCCTATGAAACGCAGAATCACACGATCAGGCACCATACCTGATATTATACTGAAAGATAAAAGGAAGAAATATGCCAATCAATAAACAGCAGTTCCACCCGATATAAATATTTCCATCAATACACCGAAAATAACAGGAAATTATAAAGATCTACAGACGGAAACAAGAATGTGGTGACAACAAACTGACATAATAACAGTGTTTATAGAAGGCCTTGGAGCAATAAAACAAAACTTATAAAATAGAATCTTACAGAAATCCGAAGAGACATCACTCAGGGGGAATTACAGAAGATCACAATGTTGGGTTCAGCGAATAGCCTAAAGAAATGATTAAATGATCAATGGCAGTTTAGTCTCAGGCCTATTAGGCTCGACTCTTTTGTTAATAAAATAAGCAAAACAGATTGGTGATGATTATCATAACATGATAATGGTAAAATGGGATTCATGAAATAGAAGTGCTTAGTAATGATTGATAATAACAGCCAAATAGTAACGAAAAAAATGGAAATTCATGGATGCAGGCAATGATGATGATGATGCTGTTAGCCTCTGCTGGCCCTAACTATTAATTTCGTCCATAAAATACTCCCTCATACATTTAATTTGTTGTTCACGCACGCAATGTTACCAGTGGCTAATATGGGTAATTATCTTAAGTGGATTTAGTATTATTTTTGGTCACTGATAGACTCTGATCTATGACAACGTTCTGGCCCAATATTTTCCACTGATCCTGAAAGAAAACCGTGACGAACCAAATTTACTGTCATCAAATATGTAATCAAAATGAATATATTCATTCGTACAGCTGTGAATCATTCTATTATTAGACATTAATCTTTACGGTAAGGACGCACTGAGTTCGGGGAAACTCAATATGATATTCTTGTAGAGGACAAAAAGTTGCAGCAGTAGACACAAGAAATAATCTGCAGACACGAGCGGTAACGCCACAAATAAAGGAAAAAGATCGCGGAAAGGCGCGCCCAGACGAAGTCCACCCGGTGCTCCCGAGTTTCAGCTCCATCTTGCCCAAGGTCTATAAAAGTAATTATATAGACCTTGATCTTGCCCTGCATACGAGGTGAAGACATGTTTCCTGGGGGTGTTGGGGCGGGGGGGGGGGGGGGGGCACCAACCCTCCCCTCGGGCGCCCAGACAACTTAAATTGATAAATATATTTTGTGACGTGGAGTTGACACTAATGATATGATGGTGAAATCGAAAAACAGAATAAAAAGAAAGATTTTGTAAGATATGCCAGTAACAGCATATATGCATTCCCTCACAAAATGAACGAATGTAACTACTAGTATTACTTAATATATAAACTTATTTGTGTGCGTATAAGTCTAGCTATATTTTCACGCTAACTATTATCGTAACATTTTGGAAATTCATGTAAATGGATTAACGGTTTTATAATTTCCAACTTCAAACGATTCCTTTCTTTCTTTTCATTAAATCACATTTTGAAAACAGTCTTACAGCGTTTGTATACGAAGCTGGTAATGCCAAGAATTTCAGTGTAAATTTAACTGATAATATTTCACATTTCAAGTTGCCGCTGAGATCCTTCACTGTCATAAAATTCGACAATGTCACATACATTATCATATTTCATATATCGTGTGTGTGTGTGTGTGTGTGTGTGTGTGTGTGTGTGTGTGTGTGTGTGTGTGTGTGTGTGTGTGGTGTGTGTGTGTGTGTGTGTGTGTGTGTGTGTGTGTGTGTGTGTGTGTGTGTGTGTGTTGTGTGTGTGTGTGTGTGTGTTTGTGTGCGCTGTGGAGTGACTGTTTCCTTGAAGCAGAGGTGAATAGCACCTTAAAAGGGGATGAGGCTCACACTGGGAATATTGAGCATGTCCAACGTGGCAGTTTTAATCTCCCTATCTTATATTTAACAGTAATAAAACAAGATCTAAGAGAATAAATATACGAAACTGCAACGTTCAAAATTCAAACAAGTCGTAAGGAATTAAATGTTGCGACAGGAATATTTAACACTATTTTCCTCAATGCAGAACTAATAAAACATATCAAATACTATTTATGAAATCCTTAAAATCTGAA